AGCCCTTACCTCACCCAACACCAGAAATAGTGATTGCGTTAAGCGGACCTCACTAAAGTACCAGAGATGGCCTTGAAATTTCTTGAGAGTCACTGCCGAAATCTTTGGATGGATACTGTGGTATCGTTGGAGCTCCTTCAACAGCCAGAGGTCTTGTGCGGGAGCGAGCTGGGCCACAGGAGCGAGATACCAGGCCTTAAGATATACCTTGATGATGAAATTACAAACCGCTTTTAGACCTGCTTCCTCCCGTAGAGTCAGCTTGAACTGAGCCCGGAACATCCAGAGTTTCATAGAATAGATGGCTTTAGCCATCCACCGAGCGCGATGGAGGCCTCCTGGTGCCTTGAAACTGATACCACGAGGAGGAACCCTACCAAGGAAGATTATCGATAGCTCCATGAGCTCTCGGTAGTCGTCCCTGGGCTGGTGAATTTCAAGTTGTTCTGTCGCAAACTAGTAACAAGGGATCTGGACATGTGTCCATCACCGTAGAGGGGATGCTTTTGTCAATTAAACTCCATTTCTGCTGGAAACGTTTAAACATTAGACTATCTGGACCTGTCGATATACCCACCACTGCCGTGAAGGCTGCTTCCAAAACAATTTCAAGTATGTGATGTCGACAGGCAATATGTAAGAGTTCCTCCATTTTCTGCTCCAACAGAGTACAGGCTCCATTCATTCCACCTGTATTTGTGGCTGTCGTGTCAAAACACATCGCCACAACATTGTTTTTCACCGACCATTCTTCAATAGCCTTATTGACAATATCCGCCATAGACTTTCCGGTGCCAGACAGTAGTTTCGGGATGCCGGGGAGTTGGGTTGCATTGCCTCCTGAAACCAGGATTGGGAGACAGTCTACGACATCCCAGCCAATGATGTCAGTCATCATTTTGCCACCCCAATGGATGACCTCATGTTGCATTTATTGGTGAAAATTCAACACTCGGTAGCAACCTACAAATATTCTTCAATCCAGCTGAATTTTTTACTGAATTATTTATTACATATAAGGAACATTTAGGGAAGGTGCCACATTTAAAAATCGGAACTTAATTTTTTGGGACCACACACACATATATATATATATATATATATATATATATATATATATATATATATATATATATATATATATATAATTCTACAATATTTATACATAAGTTTTTAAATGTTTGAGTAACTAGTATACTTTACATAACCCATAAATAGGAATCAAGCTCCTCATAAAATCCATTGACTACAAATATCTTTGTTAACTATACGATTAATTTATGCCTTTTATACCTTTAGCATTTTCTATGGTCACTTAATTTATTTACCTGGTGCTGTAAACTTATCACACCAGAGAAATTAATTGTTCAGCTTTTCACTTTCGCTTCCTCGTAAACGTATCTATGGTACAGTGACAGTTGACCCAGTGTCCAGCAGCACCTCTACCCGATCGGTGTACGCTTATTGTGTTCCCTATTAGGACTGTTTGTCAACTTCACCTATATGTGTTACTTGTCAGTTATTGAAGAACTTCAGAGATGCTCGTGCTGGAGCTACACAATCCCGGATGGAACGAATGCGGTGAGTTAAATTTACTTTTATTTATGTCTCGTTTCAAGTGTTCTAGTTCTACCGTCCGATCCCCAATTCTAACCAAGCGTGACTAACCAACGCCGACTTCGAGGTTACTGTCGTGGTCCGTTTGTAGTTTGTCCGTTCAACACTTAACCATTCTTATTGTGCTACAGCGTCCACTAAACACGTGAGCCTTTGAGTTCCCCCAGTTGAGACGTTCGGCCTCTTTCAAGACCAGACTTAACCAACACTGGAGCAGGTTCAGATACATTCAGGAGCCAGTGCATGCCCAGTACTTGCCAACAGTGCGTAACAGGGACGTGACCGATCGCCCAAGCGGCTAACGAGCTTATCAGTGGTGAAGAGGATAAAAATAAAAAAATAGTAAGAGAAAATCTAAAAATAAAATGGATCACCTGAAGAATTGTCATCCCAGAGTTGGCAGGGTGACAATTCTTCAGGTGGGGTAGCCTAGGGTGATGAATCTTCAGGTGGCAACACCTGGGGTAACAATTCTTCAGGTGGGGTAAGGACCCTCCATGGTTAGGTTAGGTTTATATTTTTTTTCTTTAAACTTTTCACAATAAAGATGCATAACACAAAGGAATATATTTATGTTAGGTGGGCTGGGGTGACGATTCTTCAGGTGGAACAGGCTGGGGTGACAATTCTTCAGGTGGGATATCCTGGGGTGACGATTCTTCAGGTGGACATTCTGGGGTGACGATTCTTAAGGTGATCCAATAAAACAATAATTTATAATTAATATAAAAATTTGTCCTCTTTAAATACTCACTATAATGATAAGAACATTGTTGAAAAAATGAACGAAATCGAACAACTTCTAGTGGTAGTGCTGTTCTCAAATTACCGTTATTTTTGTCACAAAACATTTACTTAAGACTTTAACTTTTATTTTCATGCAAGTCTAATAATGTTGCTTGGCTTCTAGTGTGATGTCAGTCCCCCTCACTCGTTTGTTTACAGGGGGCTCGTCATATAAGTATTCCATAAATAATTGCATTAATTTTATCCTCTTGGCCACTGGAGATATTTGTTGTAATATTGTTTTACTTTGATTCCATAGTATGTTTACTATTGCGAGTTTCCTTTTGTCGAATGTAAACAAACACAGGGTGCCATACTTCACAAAACCTGACAAGCCCCTGTAAACACACTAGTGAAGGGGACTGTACATAGGGTATATAGAGCTTTCCCGTTATCCCGGCAGGAATGGTCTATCGGGAAGCATAACTTTTATATTTGAGTGGTCTTGACTCGTTGCCTTAAAAAACAAAAACAATAAATCATCCAGTCTTGCCAATGTAACCGCCCATTTAATTATGAATGTTGTTTGGGCCAGTCAATCACACAACCTAACAACGTCTGCGCTTGACAAGTCAGGGTTTGAGGTAGGGGAAAAGATTGCCATAGGGCGGCCAATGCGTAGTCAGTGACTGGCAGTGTCTTCGCGCTCTGAACTGATGATTGTGTAATAGGTTGGTAATTATTGACGACTGCGTTGTTATTATTTATTATCCAATTAAAACTTATCAGTTACCTTCCCCCCCCCCAAAAAAAAATATCTTGTATTTTGAAGTTGAAAATAAGGCAACACTTTGATAGAACATTTAACTTACGAGGTGTAGATTTAAGTCGTGAAAACATAAAAAGAGAGGCAACTAAGGAATTGAAATCGCTGTGCACGTAAATAGGAAAGGGAAACAGAGAAATGAATATTGTTTGGAATTGAAATAGAATGGAAAAATTTCGATGTTTCAGATATCTAGGAGTTAATATGTCAGAGGATGAAACAATGAGTGCCGAATTCAATCACTCAGTAGCAAAAGAAAAGAAAGTACCTGTGTATAGTAATGGTTGTGTTAAAAAATGTTTGCTCATATCTTTAGCCGCTTGGGCGGTCGGCCACATCTTTGTTACACAGTTACACCGTTGGCATGTACTGGGCATGTACTGGCTGAAGAATGTATCTAACTGCGTCAGTGAGCTCACGCTTGGTGTTGTCACAATGTTCTCTGGCGGAGTGTTCCACGAGTTCACAACGCTCTATTGTCAAGTTAAGTATCATTATTTGTGTACTGGACTCTTAAGCCAGAAATAATACTTGGTAGCGCTTCTGAATTTGGTAGTACTGACTTCATTCTATTCTTAACAATTGCCTTGTTTACGAAACTCACCGTATTTTGTGGGGTGTGGCCAGAGATGAGGGGGAGGTGTCCAGTTGCCCCCCTGGTTCTGTACTGGCACACTTTCCTCCACTACTTTCTCACTAAATGTTGATATTATATTCAGTGGGTGAATCCTAAATATATATATTTGTTATTTCTTCCTCCCGGAGAGTAATGTTTGATTCTCATCACCTCAAGAAGACTTTATTAATTGAAAAATATATGTCAATACAGAAATGTCTGCATAATAACAGTAACAATTATATAATAGTAACAATAATGAACTTCTTGGGTGATTTAAAAAAACAATATTGGTATCAATTACTTGTGCAGTATATCGCAGCACACTATCCAGTCTCTACTCCCTTCTATTAAGGAGTGCAGCCATAAAGGTCTGCTCTTTATTTCAATCTTCAGTCAACAATTTTGATTGGTTCATGTTTCTTGGCCATTATATACAGTTGTCCCCAGGTGTGTTGTTACCTCTAGCCACACAAACAGCACAGCACTGCCACATGAGCAAGGGAGGCGTGGTTTGGGGTAACAACACACCTGGAAGCGACTCTACCTCTAGATCTTTCTAATACAGTAATTACATAACTTTTCTATTGTAAAAAAAATCGTCAAAATAGAAGGAAATTTAATTTATTAGTGTACTGTAGTAGGCAGCTACCAAACAGGGATGTACTACCGCCTGGGAAGACATTGGAAGCATAATGTGTTGTTTAATGGTAGACCCTGCTGCCATATGGCATCACGAAAATTGTGACAAGTCCCAGGTTGCTGTTGTGACTTTCTGCCTCTTTACACACAATTGCAGGGTCTCAATTGTTTCTCTTACCAATGACAACACAACATACATAAATTGTTTCTCACTCTTGATCTTTTTTTTTTATTTCTTTATGGTTCTTTATTATTATTATTATTATTATTATTATTATTTGTATTATTATAATTGCAGTGTTGTTTTTATTATTATTACTGTTATCGTTATAATTATTTTATTTTTATTTTTGTATTTTTTTAATTTTCTTATCTGAATTATTATTATTATTATTATTATTATTATTATTATTATTATTATTATTATTATTATTACTACTATTATTATTACTATTATTATTACTACATTTTCGCCCCCAGGCCCCGATGTGGGTCAGTGACCTGTGCCCGGGTGGGCTAATCCCCGTAAAAAAAAAAACCCAGAAATTATCTAGTGTTGATAAAAAAAAAATCTTAGAACCCATTTTATATATACTGTACAGGTATCTCTTAAAAAAATTCTTTTAGCAAAACAAAATTAAAATCTGGAAATCTGCCAAGGTTCTAAGATTACAAACCACTTCCACAAAATTAATGAAGGTTCTGAAGAGCGCTTTGTATTGACCTAAAGGGTTGTATTTTGTACCTAACATCCTAATGACTACCCTAACTAGAGGTGGGAAGAAGGGCATTTATTATTTTCACTTCATTTTTTTTCAATGAACCCTTTTCTACCCTTCCCCCCCACAAGAAGAATTAAAACGTGCCTTTTATGTCATCAAGAATTTAACCAAATATAAGCTTTCATAGTATCCTATAATCATCCATACAAAATGTTAAATTCATCATCCATGTGCCTGATAATCACAGCTAAGAGCCCAAATGCCATTATCATCTGGCTGAAAGGAATGGGAACCATCCCATCAGCAGTCAGTAACCTTGGTTGTGGCCTCTCTGTGTTTGAATTGATGGTGCACACAGTCTTCAGATCAGCCGTCGCTCTTGGGTTTGAAACTGGACACTTCTCAAGGACTAGATAAGGAAGGACTTCCTTGTTGCAGTTGTCAAACTGCTCCTCACATGTTGTACAATATCCAGTATTGTAGATGGCACAAGTCTGGTTCATAAAAATGTATATAAGCACAGTTTGCAATGTAAGTACAGTCACCCACAAAAGTCCTGTTGCCTCTCCAGAACTACGAATCCCGAGATTCATACTTGTGAATCTGAAGTATTTTTGGATAAAATAATGCATCAATGTCTACTGCTTCGGGTTTACGAGTCAGAATCTCAGGGTTCGTGATTCAGAAGGAGAGGCGACAGGACATTTGTGGGTAACTGTACATGTAAATGAATAAGACTTACATAATCAAGAGATTCTCACGTGACCCCGTTATACCTTAATGAAAAATATGTATTCGGTACATTTATTGACCAGTGGTGGTTCTAGTACAGGTATTATTAATATATATATATATATATATATATATATATATATATATATATATATATATATATATATATATTACTGAAGTGTTTCCTGATATTCAGTCATATCAACTCTCCACTTCTAATTGCTCTGGGTTATGTTTCTAATTTATTGGGCAGACACTACTTACAAATAAGGAGTGGGGAGTTGATATGACTGATTATCAGGAAACACTTCAGTAATAACTTGGCCAGCTAGATGTATAAGCTCCCCAAACTATGTGCATAATATAGGTGCTGTATATCCTGTGTGCCTAGCTGTACTTAATGTTATGAGATTATCTTAATAAGGTCTGTGACTTGACTAGTAACCTCTGCAAAGATAAGTCCCATTACTGTTGTGAAGTTTGATAATAAATATTTTATTTTGATAAAAGCCACATCTAACTGATGGTCCAGCTGGGTGAACAAAGGCTATAGCTTGCTGAGGGTGCCTCATTAATATGGATCAAAATTTTTAGCCGAGTTCCGAAGGTTGGGACCGTTTTTCCTCCTGCGACTTCAATGTGTAAACTGTGCCATGGACGTATTGCTGTCTAAAACTGAGAAAAAATGCACTTTTGTTTGTTCTGTATGATGCCTTGGCAAGTTTGTGTATCATTCGACAGCTTGAAGAAATTCTTTATCCTCTTCGCCACTGTCACTTTACTGTACTAGCCGGTGTGGTAAGGGATTATGTTTAGTATCATATTCGAGGTACATTATTATGTGTCCTTGAGATCTACCATCAGGCCCTATTGGAAGAGTTGTCGGTCAAAATGCCTTCAGCGCTTTCCTATATTTAAAGTGTCTGTTCTAGATTTTTTTAATTGCCCAGCCTTGACTTTTCCCGTAGTGTAATGTGGTCTCCATGCATAATTATATACAGTAAACCAGGTGGTATTATGTAAAATATTTGTAGAGCTAAAGGTGCCCAGAGAGATTAGAACGTCTGAAATTGCCCAGCTTATACTATAGACGGGCAAGGGGTAATTTAATAGTTATAAGCACCCCAGAGGACATTACTCAGTTTACTGTTCATAGCTGGAACTAACTGATGCCCGCCCCACTACAGATCATAGTCTCAGGTTAAAGATGTCATAATTTCAGAAAATTGTCAGGACAATCTTTTTTGAGTGAGTTGTGAACTAATGGAATAACCTGCCAGAGAATGTTGCGATAGCACAGAATGTGTAACTCCTTTAAGACCAGGCTTGATCAACACAGGTGTAGGTGCTGATACATTCTGGAGCCAGTGCATGCCCAGTACAGTACTTGCCGAGAGTGCATAACAGAGAACGTGACCGATCGCTTAAACAGCTAACAGGCTGATTAGTGGCGAAGAGGATGAAGTATAAAGTAAAATTAGTTACCATTTTCATGTCCTTGTGTTTAATGGTGTATTTAATGATTCGAGTGCTTGTTTTCTTATTTGTCCCATGCACCATTCTTCAGCTTAATAGCCGTTTTAAACGAACTCGTAGCAAAGGCTTTAAATTAGGCAAATTTAGATTTAGGCGCGAGCTAGGTAAACGCTGGTTTGGAAATAGAATAGTGGATGAGTGGAACAAGTTACCAAACGTCATCATTAACTCGAATTCGCTGGGTAGCTTGAAATATAGGTTGGGCGGATTAAATTATGAGCGAAAGGGGTTGGGAGTAAACGGGACAGTCCAGTATGTGCCAATAGGCCCGCTGCAGTTTCCTCCATTCTTATGTTCTTAAGTACTATTATAGGCATGTGCGAACTCGTACATGTACTAGTGTCGGTCAATTGTTTTTTTTAAATAAGCTCAGACTTGATGCTCTCACAACATTCCAATAGTTCACAACCCTTACTCTAAGAAAGTTATCATTGACATTTTTCTGGTCCTCTTATTGCTGTGCTAGTTACTAAATCCATGGGGTGCAATCAGAATATGTGGGGAAGGATCACTGCGTCTTGGAGTGGAGTCACCATACCATTTGAAATTGGGTCATCATATCCAAGAGCCGAGATCACTATTGTAGACTACAGGAGACTACCAATTTTTTACAACTATCATAGATACAGGATGCAGTCAAAATATTCATGGAAGAGATTTAACTACCTATTCGTGCCATCGTACTTATGGGTTGGGGTCACCATATCAGTACTTAGGCCATCATACCTGCTCGTCAGGATCCTTGAAATCCTCACAGTCAAAACAGCTGATTCCAGTCTGGGAAATAATGTCGTTCCAGTTGCGCTCTGTTTCACACTCAGGCTCCTGTAGAATATAATCTTGTAACTTACAGTATTATGCTTAGTGAAGTGTTGACTTAAGTATGGCCAAAACGTTGATCTAACCCAAAGGGAAAATGGAAACCTCTTATTTCAATAATAAAGTTTTGATACTAGCTATCATCCTATCTAATTGTGCTGTACTAGGTAAGTAAGATAAAGACTACAGAGAGCATGCAGTAAGTTACGTTCATAAATAGTCTAGTGTTGTGTTCATATATTCAGTAAATTGTAAAGGTGGGCCTTGGTCATCAATGAAACTCCTCTCTTGGTTCTACTTCCTTGCTATTTGGGAGTTGTCTGATGTTTTGACTTACACCGAGTACAGTGAGAAATTTAAAAGACCTTATTTACTGAAACACAGAAATATATACTGTACTGTATTAACCTCCCCCACCACTATAAAGTGTTAAACGTCAATATAGTTCACCTGAAATCTGATTGGAGGCATGGTAACATTGACATAGGAGTTGTTCTTCCACATAAGTTGGTCCACATAACACAGGTTGACGAAGGCTTTACCGTTGGCGTTGACAAACTTGTTGTTAATGAAGGTAGCAGAGGTATTCTCTCCCTTCATCATGACCATGCTGAAATAAGTTTTACCATCAGATTCTGCGGTGATGTACAGTAGGCTGGCGGAGAGGTACAGATACATCCTGGAACCAGTATTTCTCAGCAGTGTGTAATGACCGACCGCACAAGCGGCTAACGAGCCGACTAGTGGCGAAGATGATCTTTTACTTTTATCCTCTTCACCACTGATCGACTCGTTAGCCGCTTGGGCGATCGGTCACGTCTCTGTTACGCACTGTTCAAATACTGGGCATGCACCGGCTCCTGAATGCACCTGAACCTGCTCCAGTGTTGGTCAAGTCTGGTCTTGAAAGAGCTCACACTCGGTGCCGTCACAACACTTTCTGGCAGATTGTTCCAAGAGTTCACAACTCTCACTCCGAACTGGAGGCATTGCTAACAGTGGCTGATAGATATAAAATTATCCCTACATCTTGGAAAGACTAAAGCAATATTATTTGAATAAAAAAGAAAACTCGAATTAAGTGGCGAGTGGAAGTAACCCATCACAACTATAACCTCGGCGAAATATCTTGGGCTAACTTTTGGCTCTTGCTGATCTGGAGAATTAATCGGGACGATAGTATCTTATGGATACTATACTGTAGTAAATAAAAGTAATGCTAGGATAAAATTTATAAATGTCAAAAGGCCTCAGCTAATGCCCACAGTGTCCTTTACTTAGCGCTCCTACAGTCACTTGGACGATTCTTGCACATCATGATACTCTGCCTTATTCTTGACATGGACGCAAGAGATCATATTGGTCACGAAATCCTGCAATCATTGGACATCGTACGTGTGGCAGATAGCAGTTGAGGCTGATACGCTTTTCGGATTTTCAACGGTGTATGTCCAGAGTTATCTAAAAACAATCTTTACAGGGTACTAAAGAAAGCGAAGACAATTTTTATGGTACGTGGTGTCCGAGGTCAAGCAAAACATTCTTTATAGCTATAACGAATTGGAACATGTTACTATATATAATTCTCCATCATGAAAGAAAATTATTTATTGCCCAAATCTGAACCAGGGACCCTTAGATCTTCAGTCTAACGATCTTCCAACTGAGCTATCGAGAATACAATGATTTTAGAAAGTACGCATCGTGTCAAAAATATAAATTTCTTTACCGAAAATTAAAAATATGATCTGCCCAGACCCGGGATCGAACCGGGGACCTTTAGATCTTCAGTCTAACGCTCTCCCAACTGAGCTATCTAGGCCTGAAAAATAGTAGTTTTTCCAGCACTGCGAATTCTTGGTACACAGTTGATTAGAGAACTATTAAAATTGGTGAATGCTTTGTAGTAACTTAGTGAAATGTGTCCATGTATTTTTATTTTAAATTAATAGTTTTCTTAGCCCTATAACTAATTTTTTTTCTACATATAGTAATTGCATCGATCAGTTTTCGCTATACTAAAAGTGTTAAGGTTTTCCTGTAGTTTTCCGCGTCTTCGTCCAATTTTATTTTACACCCAGTTTTGTGTCATCAACAAACATACATACATACGTTGCTATAACCAATGTCGTTAATGTATGAACTTTTTACTTTTATTTTTATCTTCTTCACTACTGATCGACTCGTTAGCCGCTTGGGTGATCGGTCACTCACTGTTGGCAAGTACTGGGCATGCATAGTCAACTGGAGTATTGAACCTTGGGGTACGCTACTTAGGACGTTATCCCAGTCGGATATTTTGTACCGTTAATGCTGACCCATTGTTTCCTGTCCGTTAACCACGCCTAAATCCAATTAAAAATGTTCTCGTCCAATACCATGTGCCTCTTCTTAACTAAATAATCTTTCGTGAGGGACCCTATCAAAGGCTTCGCTGAAGTCGAGGTATACATCATACCAACACTGGCTTAGGTACATGCCCAGTACTTGCCAACAGTGAGTAATAGAGACGTGACCGACAGCCCAATCGGTTAACCGGATCAGTGGCGAAGAGGATTCGCTATCATCTTGGACTGTGGTATAACGTCCGATTTTAATTACATAGTAAACAATGTCGAGTCAGGGAAAGCTGGGATGATATATAAATATATAGATATTATTTAGTAAAATTGTCATACAAGTTTACACTGATATACACCACGTATATAAGAAATGCTTATGCACACATGAGTACACGTAATGGAAATAGTAATGATTTCATTACTTTATCATCTTCGCCGCTTGTCGGCGTGTTAGCCGCTTGGGCGATCGGTCACGTCTCTGTTATACACTGTGGGACCCAGACCCAGTACATGCCCAATACTTACCAGTACCTGCATTTTAATTTATTTTACTGAGTAGGTCGGTTAGTTTCATCTTTGCGTCAAAAGTGAGAGGACAAATTTAACGTGCATATTTATAAGATTTTTGAAGGAAACTTAATGTTTTGACAAATTTAACTTTGTTACATGGGAGAAATCTGATAAACGACAAATTTTACTTTGTTACATGGCAGAAATCTGATAAACTTAGGTTAGGTAAATATACAATAATTAGTTACTGGGGTGGGTGGGAATAAAAGGGTGGGCAATTCCGACGAGGATGGGATTCGAACCCACGCAGGGAGACCCTATTGGATTAGCAGTCCAACGCCTTAACCACTCGGCCACCTCGTCTTGACAATAGCTAGCAATACCACTGTAGAGTTCAATATTTTTTATATAAACCTGTATCATTTTTATATTCAGTAAAATTGTCATGTATATAAGCAATGGACGTATGCAGTACTTAGAGTGTGTCTGGCTGGAAATAAGGTACTGTGGGTAAACAAACTTTATATTGTCAGGGCATACTGTACAAAGCACTTCAGTAGGTTTATAGTTTTTCTACAGTAAGGAAATAGGCTTCTCTATATTATTTAATTTGTATCCTCTTTACCAGTGATTGACTTGTTAGGCGTTCGGGCGGTCGCCAGTTGGTAACGAACTAGGTATTACTGATTCCTCTACAGTAAAGTAGGGAGATGGGGGCCCCTTTACAGTCTAGAGAAAGGCTACTCTACGTGAGGGAGATAGGTTCTCCTACTGTTAGGAAAAGGCTTCTATATGATAGGATTCTCACAGTTGGGAAATAGAATATTCTACACTTGTAGGGAAATTTGATACGCTCACATGTTTTAGAATTTATTGAAGAATTTATACGCATATTAGCATGTGCGTCAGTGGCCGTGATCGTATAGTGGTTAGTACATTGCGTTGTGGCCGCAATAACCCAGGTTCGAATCCTGGTCACGGCAAGAGATACACTTAAAAATTTTTGTGCATTGTGGAAGTGCATAACGTACGGGCCTGTCCGGGATTTGAACCCGGGACCTCCTGCACCCAAAGCAGGAATCATACCCCTAGACCAACAGGCCGATAGCATATAATGTTTTTGAATGAATATATAGATATTTATATACCGCAGTAAAGTAGTTAGAACGTTTGCATTAATTTTGCGTGCATACACAATGTGTACCTCAACAGTGCGGATATACAAGTAATATATTGACAGTGCATGTGTACAGTTTATCTAGACTGCAGGTATACAACTAGGGTTGTAAGTGTAAACTCTTGGAACAATCTGCCAGAGCGTTGTGACGGCATCAAATGTGAGCTCATTTGAGACCAAATGCAAGAACAAGGTTAGAAGCTGAGTGCACATTAGCCGAGGGATGGCGGTGGCCCATGATTTTAAATTTATCCATGGAATTCTTTAAAATATTTAACTGATAGCCAGCCAAACTAAGGTGGCCATGCATGACGAGGGAGATAGGCCAATGACCTGTGTAGGGCTCCTTCATTGACCTTGATAGTCTTGTGACAAGACTCTTGTCATGAGCCATTTTGAAGCTTTGTATGGGTTATTGCCTCCACAGCTGTGTGAAAAAACTATTTCCTTTTATTCATCTTGCAAGGCGCCTTGGAGAAATTGAAATTGTCTTCTCGTGTATACAATCACTAAGTATCATCATAGAAGTTCATGTTGGTTCAGCATGTATAAACAGTCGTAGAGTTGATTTACCCAGGAATGGCGCAGGAATAATTATTCAAATTTTAGACGCTATTTCTATTCTCAGATTTGATGTTATTTACTTAATATAAATATGGCGATGGTGGTATAGTGGTGAGCATAGCTGCCTTCCAAGCAGTTGACCCGGGTTCGATTCCCGGCCATCGCAATGCACTGTTTTATAATACCCAATAATTAAATTATTCTGCCAGGGGGCGCCCGGGATTGAACCAGGGACCTCTCGATCTGCAGTCGAATGCTCTACCACTGAGCTACACCCCCTCTTTAGATTTGATTAAATTGAAACTTATATAAATACAATTGATTAACGCTCGGTTCTTATATGTGTCCTACAACGTGTGCTTACAAAAATGTACTTAAGACGGTATCATTAATAAAAGACACTTTGTCTTAAAAGCCCGGGTAAGAGTAGAAATAAGTAAGTAATAACAGATTAAAATACATGGCAGCGGTGGGATTCGAACCCACGCCTCCGAAGAGACTGGTGCCTTAAACCAGCGCCTTAGACCGCTCGGCCACGCTACCGTTATTGCGCTAAATACACATATAAACAAACACAATCCGTTTTCTAAATAATACACTCAAATTGTGATATTTCGTAAACTAATACGCCTCGAGTCGACAAAATTACAAAGTAAAAGGAGTGAGTAAAATAGTTTGCTCTTGATGAGATAGTTTTTAAGTACCTTTGTTATTTATCCTCAGTATTTAAGCAATCATCTATCAGGTTAACCACAACTTTAGTTTAACCTCCTGGCAGACTATGCAGGTGTTACCAGTATTACTCTTACATAGACTAGTTTAAAAATAATCCAAATTTTCCAAAGATGCAAGTGAATGTGAAATATTTTCATTGCTCAGCGTTACCTCACAATGGATACTCTCCCCTACAACTGTCACTGTCGTTTGAGGCTGACCAGCCGATCCCTTTTCGAGTTTCCCTTCTCCAACCCATCCTGAGTGCGAGACAACTCAAAACACCACAACATAATACGAAAA